TCAAACATTTGAAGATGACAATTTCTGTTCACAAAGTATACATTTTTATTTGAATTTAAAGGAGCCAACTTATCATACTTAGCATTATATTAACTTAGATACAAATTTTAAACATAGGCGATGTATTACAATTTTCAGGACAGGATCACAATCTTAATGTTAACAGCCACAATGCAAAGGGCCTTTTATGTAATATATGTAATTTATGTTTGCTTAACGAAGTGAAAGATGTTTACCATTAATTAAGAAAAATCTAACTTCATTATAAATTATAACTCTATGGGCCGGTGACTTAATCGAGCGAATCAAGTCGGGCATTGCCTGAATGAAATGAAATGAAAAAATATTTTGATAAACTCCAAATCCTGCAAAACCATGCAGCAAAGATCATTACAAGATCTTCACGATGTGATTCCAGCACTCAAGCCTTGCAAGACCTTAATCTACTTAATCTTAAACAAAGAATGCACAATACTGAAGCAATAACTATGTATCAAATCTTCAAAAACAATGTTCCATCATATCTTTCTAACCGCTTTCACATAAGAGAAAATAGTTACAATACCAGACTTGCCAATGGCATCAACTTTAACATTCCTAAAGTGAACACCGAGTGCAAGAAAAATAGCCTCTCATATCATGGTGCTATGCTTTGGAATGACCTTTCCGATGAACTTTAATGTTCTTCCAGTCTCCATATTTTGAAGCAAAGTCTTCATAAAAATTTTTTGATTTTATCCATTGTCATCCCAGAAACTTAAAAATACCGGGTTGGTGTCTGGCGGGGGATAGTTTCACTGGTAGTTAGGATATTATGTTTTAGTTGTTTTCTTTAATTCTTTTTGTTTTCAATAATTTTTTCTTTTCTAATTATGTATGGCCTTGAACGGCCTTGATGAAAAACACCCATGGGTGATTCAAGTGTCTCTATGTTTAAATAAAGTTTATTATTATTATTATTATACTTGTTGATGGCATACAATTATTTCTTTGTTTGATAACAGTGTGAGTGGAAATAGCTTATCTAGGGAGTTTATGATGGCGTATCTTAGTAAATATTTTGTCTTTGAAATAAAATGAGGGTGGCACTTCTTGCATACAGTAAGCAAGGAGTATTATCAACTATTATTTGTTACTAATTACCAATTATAATTATTTAATAATTGTTAATTATTATGAAATATTTATTATGAAATTACTAACTAGAAAAACAGAGTTATGGTAGGTCTTGGAAGCATTTAGTTTTCTGAAAGTAGGATTTTGGAAGAAGCTTCTGCTTACAACTAGCCAGTGCTACTACATAACATGGTAGTTATTTCAGCTGGTGCAATTTTTTATACAGGTCTCCTTGGTAAGGTTATGTAAAAAAAATGGTGCTAGGGGCCCAGGCAGAGCTTACCACGTAGGCCTACGCCTAATTAATGTACTGTATTTGTAGGATATGCCTACACTTACACAGTATATTTTACTAGGCCTAATAGTAATACAGTACTATGAAATCAAAAACTACAGTATGTTAGGCCTAATCAGGGAATCGGTTTTCGAGCCTTCTATTTATTTAAGAATGGCTCAACTTCGCACTACAACGTGTTGAATGCCTGACTAAATTTGAGGGGTCATGTGACATACAACAACCAATCAGCTGCTTAATTCTTCTGCATTGGTAATTCTCGTGTAGGAAAAAATATGATCAAAGAGCTAGAACACAGCAGGAAGTTAATTGACTTGAACAATAGTGAACTATTTGAACTCAATCGGATTAGAATAGAATAGAAATCTTTCTTTATTCTGGATACTCAGTCAGTATTAGTACACTGTTCTTCCCTGAGGTCCAGGGTATGATCTTAAACTACTTTAAATTAAAAACAGAATTGATAAAGAAATATATAAGTTACATAAATATAAGAAGCAGAAAAAAGATTGGTAAATTAAATTAGATTTTTAAAGGATTGTAGGGAAATAGAATGAATATTACTGCGGATATCTGATGATATATTGTTCCATAAATTAACGGATCGGTATTTAAATGTTCTTTTTCCAAAATCATTCTGCCATTTTGGTGAGATCAAAGTGTTTTTTGATTTGCTTCTTGTATTTATGTTATGATATTCATCGATTAATTCGTAAAAATGTGTTAAGTATGCTGGAACAGTTCCTGATAAGCATTTAAATGTCATTACAAAAATATTATATTCCCATTGTTTGTCCACAAGCTTCCAATTTAGTGATTCCATAAGATCATAAACAGGCGTTGTTATATCAGCGTACAAAATAATTCTGGCCAGTCTATTTAGTAATACCTGGAGTGAATTAAGATGTGCAACTGAGCAATTTGACCATACTGGACTACAATAATTAAAATAAGGCAATACTAAAGAGTCTATTTCGTGAGATACTTACCTGGATAACCGACTAATTGCCATTGTTCCCAAAACGGAATTTGCTATAAGTCTAAGTGAAAAATTAGGCAAAAAATATCTTAATCTACGAATAACACCAATACGTTGTGAAATTTTGGTACAAAAATTTTCAATATGCTTATTCCATGTAAAAAGAGAATCAAAGGTAATTCCTAAGTATTTAAAACTATCAACTCTATCAATAATGTTACCATTTATTGATAAAGAAATATTTGAAAATTTTGAGAGATTAGATTTTGAACTAAATATCATAAATTTGGTTTTGTTAGCATTAATGGTTAATTTATTTATATTAAACCATTTGGATATGTTGGCTACATTTTTGTCAATGATAGATTGCAATTCATTTGGATCAGAAGCAGAACAAAGAACATTAGTATCATCTGCAAAAATTGCACATTTTGAATCGGGAGTGATAATTTCAGGCAAGGAATTTATATATATAATAAAAAGAAGGGGGCCAAGAATTGACCCTTGAGGGACACCAATAGTGATATTTTTAGGATCTGATAATTTTGATTTAATTTTAACTACCTGAGATTAAGACGCTTTAAACGTTCAGAGTACGGGATACTGCCTGTGGATCTCGGAAAGCAAATACGCGTAACTCGTCTTTGAACGGACTCAAGAGTAGCAATATCTTTTTTATAGAATGGAAAATAAACAAAGGTTACCCCTGAATAAACTATACTTGCATGAATAAGAAAAATTGTGATTTTTTTTTTCAATGAAAAACCCACTAAAACTTCATGTAAATAAAAATAAGTTGATTTATGGCATTAGATTAATATAAAATAACTAATTGCACTGATTTTGTATTGAATAAGACTCATTTCTTTCTATATACAGGTAGTAATTGAATAGGCACCTCCTTATAAACATACAGATTATTGTGACAATAACAAATTTGATTAAAATACTGTAGGCATAAGCCTACTAAAAACTACTTGCCTTATAACACAAATTTGCTTTATGTGTACTTGCCTGGGTATTTGTGGTGGCCAAATTTCTGGTGGTAGCATAAACCTAAAATATTGTAGATAAAATTGTAAATGTTAATAAAATAATACAACTGTATTGAAACAATACTGTAATTAATATTATGGCCAGGAATGTATGAGAATATTTAAGAATATGAATTTTGAATAGAATTCAATTGACTTAAAAAAAGAAAAAAACAAAGGCTACCACTGGATAAACTATACATGCATGAATAAGGAAAATAGTTTGATTTATTTTTCAATTAAAAAAATACTAAAAATTTATGTGAAAAACAATCAGTTGACTGATGACATTATATTAATATATAATAATTAATTGCACTGATTTTATATAAAATAAGATTCAATTCAGTCAAAATACTGACACTGAATAAGCACCTCCTTAAAAGAAAAAAAAAACACAGAATATTATAAACAGTAACAAGTATGATTAAAATACTCTAGACCGAAGCCTAAAAAAAACCCAAAAAAACTGTACTTGCCTTTAAAATTTGCTTTGTGTGTGCCTGCCTAGGAAACCCCTAAAAATATTAAAATTCATTTAAAAGAACAGTAATTTGGTCTACTTTGTTGCGTAAACTTTGAATATTAAGATGCGCAATTTTTAAACCCCTACTTAAGAAAAAATCAAAGGTAATTGATTCATTGAAAAATGGTAAATTAGTATAAGCATTTTTAAAGAAGCATTTATCACACCACCAGGTGTGTTGATCGTTAAGATGGTTAGTACAAGTATTATGAAAATCTAAAGTACAGGATTCACATGTGGAATATTGTTCGTTGATTCTTATGTTCTTAAAACAGTGACCACATTTCTTTTTATCAATTGTATGTGGTTTTGATTTTAAATTAAACTCTATTTGTGGATCTTGTATAAGACTTAATTCCCTTAAAAAATTTATATAGTTCATTGCCAGGCGTTTAGTGCCACGTCGGTTCAAATGAAGGATTAGCACGCCTTAGTGGAATTTCACAGTTTATAAATGGCTGTTTTCATACAGTTTGTTTCTTGATGTTTTAGATTTTAGTAACAGATTTTAGACAATGTAAAAATGTTATGCATGTATAATCAACCAAAGTTTCAAACTATGTTTACATTATTACTTGTGTTTGACCAATATATAAATCTTGAATTCAAGGAGTGCCTGTCAAACCAGAGGATGAAACTGTTGTCTATAGATTCCATTGGATAACCTTGGCAGGTGAAGATATTCCCTGACAGGAGTTAAAATGTTCCCAACTAGAGATCCACTCCCACCTCAACCAACCATGGTTGTAGTAAATTTTTAGAATATACAGCTTTAGGTGCTATGAAATGGGACTCTGAAACTACGCTTTTTCAAAAGATTGATCCCCAACAAAGTGATTTGTTTCTTTTCCGACGGGGTCCCAGGTTACCCAATTTGGTTTCTTCAATGTAGAAACATGGTGATGTAAAGCGATTTAGTTACAGTCGCTGCATGAAGCTGCTGCGTACAACAAAAGCTAAGGTAAGCTATGAGAAGGTATCGTACATTAATATTGAAGTGTGTATGTGTATAAAGATGACTTAATATAACAAACAACTTTATCACTTCAGATGAAGACCTATGTCAAGAAATGCCATGTTTAAATGGAGCTGCATGTTCTAGTGATGGAATCACATATTCTTGCACATGTACTTCAGGATGGACTGGGAATAATTGTTCAATAGGTCAGTATGAGTTAGATATAACCATTCAATAACTAGCACTGCTTTTCAAAGAAGCCCTGGTAATAAACTATAGCAAAATGAATGTAAAATTACTTTTTATTCTTTTTCCAGCACCAGAAATTTACATAAATAATAAATATGGTTAAAGTTTTTACAAGTTAACAAGTGTCAAGGTTCTGTTATTATTTTCTATTTATTTATTGTGTATATTTTCCATATTTTGAGTGGGTGACCCTTGCAGAGCATGTCTGATGTTCAGGGGCCCATTTAAATACAAAAAATATAATTTATATAAAAATATAACCTTCCTTAGTGTTCTGCCGTCAGGCAGGTCCTTGGCTGCCAACTCATCTACTGGCATCTATCCTCTGCTCTTCTCTTCATTGTCACATAAATATAGCCCGACAAATTATAATTGAATTTAAATACAGCAAACAATTAAATACAAAAATATTTCTACTTGATTTGTAAAGTTTTGTGTCCTATTTCAACGTTTACAATGAATTTGTTCTTCCCCGAGTGCCTTATTTAAATAGATAATTTGACTATTTAACCAACCAATGTTTCAACCTGCATTATGATTTTTCCACGCCGCACATTTAGGCTGCTACGATCAAGAGGAAACAGTCATTAAGAAACTGTAGGTAGCGGTAGCTTTTACTACAAAGGAATGGGAATTCCGAGCTGATCAATGCGCAAGCACAGTTACCAAAGAACGTCTGTGAAATATGTATAAAAAACACAGTGAGCATATGCACTGAGTAAATGACATTGTCGAACCATGTCGAGCATGCGCAGTTATCAAAAAGAAGTCTTAGGAACCAAACAAGATTGGTTTCTCTTTGGTCTTGCCCTCTTCCTTTCACTTGAATTTCACTCAATTTTCTGCATTTTCAATTTATTTAAAAACCATTTATCTCTGTTAAAAAAGGAAGTAAATGAATGTTGTATTGAATTTAAACAGTGTCTGCTAAGAGGGTATGAAATAGAAATGGGAAAAAAATTGAAATTTTTTTTTTTTGCAATCATGCATAGCAAGGAAAATTAAAAATAAGGAGAATTCCGGTCGAAAATTGTTATAATAGTACTGTATTTTCATTGTTTAGAATTTAACTTTATTTCGATACTGTATCACTTTTTTATTTTAGTTAAATTCTAACTTGCTTTTTGGTGCAATACACTATGTTTAAACGTTGTACTCCCTTTTATCTTAATTGAGATTTGAATTTTGTATTATTTGGTGTTACTCTTTTCTTAAATATTTTTTTAATGTTTCTGTTTACCTTTTCATTACCTATTTTACTTTTTGTTCACTTTTATTGTTATTTAACTAAGTAAGTTTGGATGCACCACTGTATAGTGTGTGCCACTGTTGAAAAAGTGAGAGCCAATAAAAACTAAAACTGAATCTGACTACTCTCTGGCATGGCAGACTGCTCTTAGTTTCCTCAACCATTCGAGATTCAAACTCATTCATTTCTGGAAACTCAAAAATATAACATTAAATATAAAAATTATTATAATACATTAATTTAAAATTATACAAATTCTAAAATTATTTTAATTTTTTATTGCCTTTGTTTAAGGTTGTTCAAAATAAATCTTTATATACCACTGATGGAAGTAAAAGTTTACAAGTACTTAATTTTTTTTTTTCAGATATTGATGAGTGTGCTGATAAACCGTGTGAAGAACAATTTGTATGTCAAAATGTTGATGGTTCTTATATATGCGACTGTCCACCAGGAAAGGCACCAAATAATGCTGGTGATGAATGTGTAGGTAAGAAATTCACAAAAATTTAGCTCTTGTATTTTATTAAATAAATTCCTCAGAAGATAATTTAATTAAAAGTTTATATTGTACATAATTAATGTTTCAATGGCTGTCGACTGGTCATTCATTGGTGTTATCCGACGCATTAATTATTTTCTTTTATCCCATACACTAAAAATGTTATCTCATGCTCTTGTATTTACTATTTTTATTATTTTTGTTGTGTTTGGTCTAACTGTAGTATTGCTTATGAATAGATTAGGTAGAATGTTGCTATCAGTAGATATTAAGACTTCTGTTAATTATACATTACATACTCTTAGCTGGAGAAGCTCAATGATATTTGGGATAAAAAATTACTTATCATGATTTTTAAATGTTTAACATATTACGCTCCTCAAGATCTGACATCAAATTTTATCTTCAACTATAGTACCCATACTAAACAAACACGTAGCCGAAGAAATAGCAGTTTAGTTATCCCAATTTGGAATAATAGTCAAGGAAAACTGGCTTTACTGGCAAGAAAAATGTGGAATGAACTACCTCATGAATCAAAAATTAACTTTCAAAATATGTTGTTGCATTCATTCCAAAACAATATTACTACAAAAAATGTATTTCATTGACTCATCTTGCTTGGTTTTTTGATATGTGTACTGTATATAATACACATATATAGAATAAGCTATACATGTTTTACATGGTAAGGATAAGATATACATATACTTATTTTATCATAACTCGATTAAAATTATTCAGATGGATCATCTATCAGAGCTGATGTAGTTGTAGCAGCTAATTATACAGAAGACCTTGCTGACAGTACATCAGCAGCATACCAGAATTTTGTCAAATCAATTATTGATGATGTAAGTTATTTTAATTTTTAATATATTATTAGCACTTTACATACTTAAATATTTAAAATACTATACTCGCATGGGTCGTTGCATTATTTATTTTATGACTTATTTTAATTTTGTTTGTAGCTCATAAAGGCTTTCATAGACATTCAAGAATACCTGGGCGTGAAAATTACTCGATTGCAGCCAGGCAGTGTTATAGTAGAATTTATTGTGATTTTTGAACAAATGTCAAATGTAAGTACTACAGATGTCCAACAGGCTCTTGATGGTTTTATCGAAGAAAATAATGGTGTGCTTGGTGAATTTCCTGTTAGTGAAAATGGAACTCAGGTGATCGAAGGTATGTTCAATTCATCAAACACAGATATAGTTTGTTAGTGAAGACAAGCCTAGGCTTCTAAACTGGTCCCTTGCCATAGTATTGTATGTTTTCTTTTTTCTGTTGCTCATGGTGAAATAAATGTCACATTGATTGATTGATTGATTGACTTAATTACTACATTATGGATTAGTTACTACAGTATGTACTGGAGGAATTAGTTTAAAACTAATTCCTCCATGGTACAACTTCCGTAGCCTAATGTTTTGATCAAAATTTCAAGAAGCCACTCCATTGTACTGGTCTCAGTGAGACCGATGTGTACCACCAATTGTAATGTCGTGAAAGCAGTCGAGATAGGCTGTGACTGCAATACTTTTCATGAGGTAACACCCAGTTCCACGAACATTGTGTGAATATAGTCGCACCATTGGTGGTGTGATCATGTTGCAACTGATACTATCACTTACAGTACTGAAAAGTATATAAGTTCAATATATACTGTATACTACTCTCTTACTCTCTACATGAGTTACAGTTTGCATCTAAACACTATTCTCTTAAAATTTAAACATGAAATAATGGTTAAGTTTTTCTATTTGCTACATTCAAATAAATTACAACATAAAATCTGCCTTTTTAGATGGAACATATTTTAAAATTTTTTTGAAATATATTTTTTTAAATAACTACACAAGTTACAACAGTAGAACAAAAAGGTAAATAAATTATAAATAATGAAAGAACAAACTTTTTGTGTAGAGGAAGACATTTTTTGAAAATACATAAGTGTAGAAACAGATTAATGGAACTGTATATGTCAATGGAATTACATCAAAAGCAAACGATTTGTTAATAGGCATTTTTGCTATTACTGTAAGTAAAAAGTGCTATAGAAATAGAATACCATTATTATGACCTTTGAAAATCATTTAATATTTCCATATCCCACATAATTACTATACTGTATATATTAAAATGAAAAATTTTAATCTAATTTAAAATAAGTCAGTAATTTAAAACAATTATTGGTTTATAAATCTCACCGTTTTTAATTTTAGAGTTGTGTGATAATGGATACTGTAAAAATGATGGCGTATGCTCAGTTAATCAAGACTACCGAAGTTCATGCACGTAAGTTATTGTAATACTGTAATCAGTACTGAGGGTGAAATAATTTGATACAATACACTAATCAATGTTTTTCATGGTATATATTGTATATTATTGATAGTACTATTAACCTACAATCCCCATTTCCACCTTTATATTGTGCTGTTATACTGCCACTTTCCATGCTTGGATCCTTTTCAAACACCATATATCAAAGATGTGCATATTAAAATATGATGTCATTTTAAATATTTAAAAAATGGGTAATTAAAATGTTATACAATGTTGTACAATAGGTTAACATACACGAGCTCCACCACGTTCAGCTGCAAGCCTTGTCGGAGTTTCTATCGTAACTCGCCCCATTCCGTCGGTTTATAACTGAACAAAAACCACTTTATCACGGCTCTACCAACTGTGTAAATTCACAAAGGCTTAGGCTTATACAGTTTTGTGCGTCAAATGCACACTGCGCCCCATGATAAGCTTAATATAATATTGCTCGTCTCATGAACCTCATAGAATTGGCTGTGGGTTGAGTCAATCGTATGGTGGTAATTTTGAGAATGATTCGAATTCTCACGCTAGTCATTTTAAAAGACCGGCTGGCAACGGATTTACGCATATGCAAATTTAGCAACAATGCAACAATCTTTTGTCATGGACTAAGAGCTATTATTCACTAAGTGTAGTAGTATACTATTTAAATATTAAGGCAATATGCATCTGGTAGTATAAAATATAAAGTTCTAATGTGACACAATTACAGAATTAAAAAATTAGTAAACTATATAAATATATTTAAAAATGGAGTTACATATAAAGAATACAGAAAAATAAGAGTAAATAATTTGTTAAAATGCACCAAAATCAAAAAAATATAATAATAATGGTAATAAAAATTATTTTTACAATAAGTTTTAAAAGCTGAATAATTGTTGAAAAAAAAAAAAAATTTTCACATTGGACTGATTTAGTGAATTATAAAGATTTGAAATATTGTTTAAACGTTTGAATGGCGAAGTAATAATTTAATATGATTCCATATGATTTAATCCTTATGATTTAATCCCTGCGGTACACCACATAGATAGTTCTGAAAAGAGCTATTGTTTGTTGAGAAAGATTTGTTAATCCAGTTTGGAACCACTTTCGGAAATGTTAACCCTGCTGAAAGAAACATAAAAAGGTGCACTTAATTCCAAAAGAAAGAGACATGAAGACTAAACTAACAATTGAGAACGCTAGAATAAATAAATATACACTGTTTTTAACAATTTTATTGCCTTTCCTTGCCATTTATTTCTCATGTTAACAGTTGGTGGTTGCTTTCGAAACCATAATATTACCTTTTCCTATACTTGCACACTGATCACACTGTAATGTTTTCCATGGTGCACCCACCGTAGGTCATGTGAGCGGTTGTAAATAAACACCTCTATTCTTTACAACAATTGATGATATCTAGATAGTGATGATATAAGGTAATTGAACAAAATAAGTTTAGAATGGGTAACCAGTTTGAAGGCTTACTCTGGACAAGGACTCTCTGTTGTCTGATAGTAGGTGATGTTAATTGCCATTGATACTGAATCTACTTAATTTGCATACTGTAAAAGAAAATAATACAATACTCTATCAAAAGCATGACAAAGGTCTATATCGACAACATCACGCTGCTGTTTGCTGTCAGTAGCATAATATACTGTGCTAAGAAGGGAGATACATGTTGAGAAATTTGATTGTAAATGATATTTTGGAAAAATAACGTTTCCACATATCTAGGTAGATTCCTTCTATAATAGAACTTTCAAAAATCATCTGACAGGGAGCGACAGTGGAGAATCACTGGTGACAAGTACTTGTAAAATACTTTTAGTTTCCATGTTGCAAAATATGATATTCACTATGTTTTCTTTATTAGATGTCAAGAGGGATATACTGGTGTAACTTGTGAAGAGTTGATTGGTAAGATCAAATTAATGAAATCATTACTTTATTATCTTTATTTAAACAAAAATGACATGTTTGTTATATGCCAGTAACATTTCAGTAAAGAGTTCATGCTGCATAATGGTGATTGAATACTGAATATAATAAAGTGAAACAGCATACTTATTTTACTATTACAGATAGTGAACCACCAGAGTTTTCAGAATGTCCAGAGATAATTATGTATAAGGTACTTTCTGAAATATCAAGTGTACTTGTCCGCTGGAATGTTGAGGCTAGCGATAACTCTGGTAGGGCACCAACATTGTCATCGTCTCCATATGTCTCTGGTGAAAGTCGACTAGAACCAGGAGACTATATGAATGAGATAACAGCAGTAGATGAATATGGAAATGTTGCCAACTGTACTTTCCCCATTAATGTGGATGTTGCATCTGGTACGTATGTTACAATTGCAGGTGAAATAACAGATTTAGCAGTTAGGGCCCACAAAGGTCGAGAAGACTTACTTTCAGTGGGGTACTTCTGGTGGTGATTGGGCAGTTCACCGGGAGACAATCCCCTACTCTTTTCCAAAGAGTGTACTGCATTCTTTAATGTGCACATGGGCCATTACTTCACACGGGACCAATGGCTTAAGCGTCTCATCCGAAAGACGGTGCGCTATTGTAACTTGTATTTCAGCCCTCCAGCTGAAACACAAGGAGAGGCAGCGATGGGAATTGAAACGGGGACCTAGAGGTATCCACAGTTCAGCGCACATACAGTGCAGATTGAGCTTTTTTCATTGTCGATTTTAGAAGTCGTGGCAGATATATGCTGTTGATTAGAATTGACATTTGTTTGACATGGATACTCTACTAAAACCGAAAGGTCCACTGATTAATCTAGGATAAGAAAGTATAATACATATTCCAAGTACTGAAGAACACGCCTTCGTGTTGTAATTTGATATTTTGACATTATGCCATCATCAGGAATGGAAAATTGTTCATATTTATAATATAATAAAGTACCAACAGTGTCTAACCAATAAAAATATTACCTCTAGTAGGTGACATAGCTGTGATCTAAACTAAAGATAAAAGCATTCTTAATCTACTGATCAGAGTTACCTACAAAAACATCTTTTGATGCTGAGCCTATTGTTTAGCAATGTGTAGTCTATGTATAGCAAACGTTTTTTTAAACAATAGGATAGAATAGTTTTGGGAACTGCCAATAATGTTAACATATATATTAAATATATATATGTTAACATTATACCTATTTTATTACTTATATTACAGACCACATCATTGTCAAGAATACCTTGTAAGCCTATAGTACTAGATCTGCTACATCTTCAAATACTTTAAATGTTGTCCTGCCAATTACAAACTATAGATTCATGGAAAATATTTTTTCAAATGCTGGTGCTAGAGTTCGGAATAATATACCTCCTCTGTATACAGTGCTGCTATAGATACATAGATAATGACGTATTTTATTGCCACTATATTTATGTATGTGTTATATGTGATTTTCTGTTATTAGACACCTTTGTTATCAATGCTGAAATGACATTGGGTGCAGTTGGCACAAACTTCATCCAAGATGTAAGTATACTATTTTTACTGTGTATTAGATATTTTGTAGAGCACAGAGAAACTTTGCATTCATAAATTAATATGCAATTTTACATAAAGTTTACAAAAGACATTACTATATAACTTATATTTTAAACAATTGTTTCTTTACTGTGTATTAAAGCAGCTGAAATTCATTTATACTTTGTCATATCAAGGTAAACATTACGTTACATAGAAACATCTGTGGGACATGATAAAACAACATCTTAAAGACTGATTAAGAAGTGCTTCACGATTTCTAGATTTTCATTATTCAGGAATGCATCATTCTGTAAAACAATTTAAATAACTATCACAAATACTATGTATTTTATATTCAGAAACAGATTAATTATTAGCAATTAAAATCACAACAGTTTATTAACAGTCAATATATAATTAACCAGGTATGTAAATAAAGACCTAATCAGTACGTATTGCATGACATTTTTTAACCTGGTAAATCAAAAGATATTCATGTAATGATTATTTTAAAATATTTCTTAACACATACCAAAAGATATTTATATAATTGTTATTTCCTGATTGAAAGTTCTTATTAATAATAATAATAATAATAATAACGATTTTTAAAGCGCAAACATCACCACCAAAAATTGGTGCTCAAGGCATTACAAGATAAAATAACATAATATTCATGAATTTATTGTTTAATACTTCATCTTGACATGTGTGTAAAAAAATTATTATTCATACAGTTGGATGACCTTTTCCGATTGACACCTATTGGTGATTATTTTGCTGGAGTTGTTTCATTAGGTGCTTCATCAACCAAAATGACCTTAATGTTCTACTTTACCTCACAATCTGTTACTGAGTTAGATGTTCTATCAAGTTACATGGCTGCTGCCCCTTCTAATGTGTTTGGTAGTAATGTAGTTACATTGTTCATTGTTGGTAAGTTTTTTTCTTTATTCTATACTAATGGCGAACCGTAGGGTAAATTGCAGTGTATGCTAGGGCCAGCTGGGGGAAGATTTGTTTAGCCTACAACACAATAACAGACTGTGTCCTATAGTGAAAATACACATGTATGTTTTTTATACTGGTATGGTTATTGTTTCTTCTCTTTAAAAGAATTCCTTTTCCTATACGTTTAACAAATTACAATTTAAATACTGTAATAAAAGTTTCTTCTACACCAGTCGTATGTATGCAAATTTAATTAAATTCAAATTTAATTAATGCGCAGTTGGTATAATAGCAAATTTAACCATTATAGGGTATTAGAGGGTGCAATCACATATTTATTTTTAAAAATATAAGTATTAAGGCCATTTCATATCATTTCAATTTAAACTGGTGATCATGCCTTAAAATTATTTTCAATCTTATTTTGGTGTCCATCCACACACTATTTGTATTGTGTTTCTTTGGTTATAGACAAACATAAAACAAAACTAAACGAAACTTGACAAAAAAAATCCATAAAAGGAAACCTGTCTGACCACCACAAAGAGATCCCACATCCAAGGTCCTAGTCATTTTTATAGTTCTGCCATTTGTGATTTGATTTACATATATCCGAAACGAAATCTGTACAATATTGTAAAAGCAACGTTTTAGAACGTAATGTACTTATGATAAAGGAGATGATAATTGACTACCGGAGAGCTGAAAATAAACAAAACAATGATATTGAAATTATGGTTTGTAACATCGAACAGGTCAAAAGTTAAAAGTATCTCGGAGTAATCTTTAATGATACATTAGGTTGGAGCGACCACATAGATAGTCTGATTTAAAAAATTAACTCTAGATTCTATTGCATTCATTCCATGTTCGGCAAGAAATTTTGTTTATTTTTTATGATACGGTCATTTGTGGGGTTTGGTCTTACTGTATCTCGGGGTGGGGAGGAAATGCTAGTCAGAATGATAAAGCTAGGATCGATATTGTGATTAGGAGGGTGGAGAGGATGGTTGAGGAGAGCCAGAGGTCGGTGGATTCTATATACTCGGAATGTGTATCTCTTGCACAAATTGCTATTCTCTCTCCTTCCTACCACAGGGCATCAAACAGTATAATTCAAATTTTAAAAGGTGATTTCTTTTTTTGTCTGATTTCATTGTTTCCTAGTCTTTTTCTCTTGTATGGAAACTTCTATGTATTTCATTCTATGAATTTTTAACGTGTACATTGCGGGCAATGAATTTCCTTTTTTGAGGATGAATAAATGTTTTGAATCTTGAATCTCTACATTATAGGGGATGGGCCTTGTGAGGAGAATGTGTGTGGAGCCAATGGTGAGTGCAATGCTGTGGGTCAGTCAGAGTACACATGCACATGTAACACTGGCTGGGAAGGAACAAATTGCAGTACAGGTGAGTTTGTGGCAATAATAATTGTATAGATGCACTATAAATAGAGGCAGTGAAAAAAATAGACACTATTAAAAGAGGCAGTGAAATGAATTTCATAATTTAGACGTTAATAACTCGGTAATACCAATTGATAGATGCAATATAAAGAAAAAGGCAGTGAAAAAAATAGGCACTATATAAAGAGGCAAAAGATGAATTCATAAATTAAAACATTAATGAGTCGGTAGACTTAAAACACAATAATTATTCAGAAAATAATTATTTTGACTCATCCTCGGACATTTTCAGCATGTATAACAAACAAATTACAATTTCTTTTCTTAAAATGTGTTGTGTTTTTCATTGATTTACGTTCGTTTGTGTCCATTATGAAGGATGTTAGTTCAAAGATCTGCCTATTTGTTTACTCAGAAAGTATGATAAGATATCCTTACTTTTCATCAAAGCTGAACTAGATTATAATTTCTTACATTCGATATCACAGTACACTGTTTTTCACACTTTTTAGACTCGTCTTGCTCCCAACGCATATCTTTATCCCTGTGTCTCCATTATTTTATATCTTATTAATCACCCCCCTTTTATCTAATGCCGACTGTTTATTGTATTATCTGTTCTGGTATTTGCCAACTTGTAATCAGTTACATGTATATGTATATATATACTACATATATATGTATGTATATATATAGATGGCTATTTGTGACCATCGGACAAACAATATTCAACAATGGATTTTTTAACATTTTCTCAGACATCAATGAATGCAGCAATAGTGAAATTTGTCCAATTGATGGTGAAGTTTGTCAAAACCGTGTTGGTTCATTTGAATGTCTATGTCCTCCTGGACAATGGAGGATTAACAGGGAATGTACTGGTATGTTTTTTTTTTGTCAAATCTCTTTAATTTTTTCTTTACAAAATACAATAAGCAAGATACAATACATATTAACCAGGAACATGAACATCACTTTGGTTGTTCCCAAGTATTCCAATATACTATGGATGACATAATCAAACTGATATTTGTCTCGGGTCAAAAACAACTTAAAAATCTAAGAGGGAAATATTGAATTTACAAGGATGCACTGTCAATCATGCAAGTTAATTGGTTAAACAGTAAACAAGATATCACCATTCTCCCCCAAATTTAAGGGACTAAGCCCCCCCCAGGCTCATAATTCGTACCATTCCATAGGTGTGCCTATATGAAGCATTTTATTCCAGAGCGACTTTCTTACTGATGGAGCCAATGATGACGATGATGCCAATAACAATGGCAATCATAACTACATTTAAACAGATAACTGTATGTAGAAGTCCGCTGGTAGAGGTAGATGGTTTGAGTAATGATAGTCATTTGTCAATAATAATGTGTAGAGTGCAAAGAAGTCCTTCCAATGAATTGGATTATTTTCCTTTAACAATAATAATGATGATGTAGATTAATGATAATAAATTATAATAATTATAATAGTATATAGTATTATAAATTTATGGTATTGGACGATGTTAAAAGCTTGTTCACTAACATCCCATTGACAGATCTATTTAATTAGTTATTGATTCTGATAAATAATACTGATTGTAAATTATTTAGAGAATGACTTAAGAAGCTTTTTATGTTTTATACTTCTAAAACTCTTTTTCTTTTTTGATAATGAATTAATGACCAAATAGATGGAGTCTCAATGGGTTCTCCACTGGGACCCATCCTAGCTAACCTCTTCATGGGACACCATGAACAATCCTGAATAAAATCGTTCACTCATGCACCCCTCCTTTGTTTATGATGTTTTTTTCTTTAATTCTGAACATGATGCCGATATTTGATTTTTAAAATTCACAACACCCATCAATAAGATTCACCATGGAAAATGAGTATAACAAAAGGTTACCCTCAGGCCATAACTCATGTTGTCTACAAAAAAAAATTGTGCGTGTATATTGGCAAGACCAATAGACACTAAGAAACATGGCCCAAGGAGCACTTAGTTCAGGACAACATTGCTACTAGTTTTAATCAGTACTTTGCTTCTGTCTACAACAAATCTTCAAATATACCTACCTCACCTCCTGATTCTTTATTAAGCTGTTCCTTAATTCCATCACTTCAGACACTTGAATTTTCTCCCTATGATGTTGCAAAGTCCATACATTCTTTCTTACCAAATAAATCTCCAGGTCCTGACAATGTCTCACCTAGACTACTCCAGGCCATATCTTCAATTATATCATATCCCCTTTTCTCTCTATTTAAAACCTCAATTTGTACTGGTCAAGTACCGGAAGAATGGAAGCACTCTATAATTGTACCAGTTCTAAAATCTGGTAGTTCCTCCGCATTCAGTAATTACAGACCAATAGCACTGACTTCTATATTTTGTAAGTCTTTAGAGAAAATTGTTCTCAGTGGAATTAATCACTATTTGTCCGAATTATGTCTGATGTCTCCTAATCAGCACGGATTCACTAAACGGAAATCATGCGTCACTCAGCTTACAAATGTTATCCATGATTGGACCCAAACCCTTGATAAATCTAGACCTCCTGTTATAGATGCTGTCTTCTTAGACATGTCAAAGGCTTTCGACAAATTACCTCATGATCTTATTCTTAACAAACTGTCTACTTAATACTACATCAAAGGGCCTCTGTGGCATTGGATCGCTTCCTTTTTAACTGGCAGATATCCAGGGGCGGATCCAGAAATGTCCAAAAGGGGGGGGGGCGAAAGTTGGGCCGATTGAGACAGCACTGTCGTAGGGGGTCCGGGGCATGCCCCCGCGAAATTTTTGTGTTCTAGACGCCCGAACATAGCATTTGAAGCATTCTGGGCTATCATTTTTTTCTTTTTCTTCTCTTTTTTTCTTTTATTTTTCTTTTTTTTTACCTCCCAAAAGGGGGGGCTGGGGCCGGGCCGGCCCCCCCCTAAATCCGCCCCTGATATCAGTCTACGCAGTATGGTGGATCTTGTTCCAAGAAACTGCCTGTGGCCTCTGGAATACCTCAAGGCAGTGTTCTAGGTCCTTTAATATTCAACCTTTTCGTGAACGAATTACCTTTTTCATTGAAGTCAACTTGTGTTCTCTTTGCAGACGATGCCTTAATCTATCGACCTATTTACAGTTGTAGTGATGATTCAACATTACAAGAAGACCTTGACTTTCTTGGTCAATGGTCCTGTACGAATCGCATGACATTCAACACATCTAAGACAAAAGTAATGCATATCACTAGAAAAAAAGATCCAATAAACCGTACTTACAAACTAAATGGCCTACCAATCACTAAAACAAATGCCCATAAATACCTTGGTCTCAAAATAGACAGCACACAGTCATGGACAGATCATGTAAACACCACTGTCTCCAAGTGCAATCAAATCATAGGTCTCATCCTAAGGGTTGCTAATGGCACTAACCAGCAAGTTCTGACCAATTTGTACAAATCATTGGTTTTACCAATAATTGAGTATGGACTACCTGCTCCTGCGCGTCCCGCCCACCCTGTCCCGTTTGTGGGACTCTACCCGGACCTCATCCTTCGCCTGAATTCCCAAGCGAAGTCCAAGCCGGTTGCCGCGCCGCGGCGTCTTACGGCTGCTTTTCCGGTCCCCGAGGACCAGTTCAAGCAGTTCATTCAGGTGCCGCCCATCCTCGCGCTGCCAAGGGCAGACTGCGGGAGGATCAGAAGCTCTCTTCTACTTCTAAGGCTTTGTTTTCTAACAAAGCTCAGGGCGCGACCGAGGAGGCTTTGGCCTTTGTGGACCGCGCGGCTCGGGAGGGCATACGCGCCATGATTGGGGCGGGGTTTGCTTTGTCCTTCTTGTCTGATGCTGACGCTAACCCAACTCTCGTCCCGGACGCCATCGGGCGGACATTGGCCTTATTTCAGACCAGTTTAGTTCCATCGCCCAGGCTGCCGGCACGGCCCGGAGGGCTAATGTGCCCTGGGCGACGACGGTCAGCCCCGGTCACCTTGACCGGTTTTTAGACTGCCCCTCTTTTGGGGCAGAGGACCTCTTCTTTGGCCAGTTCGCGGCCAAAGAAGAGGCTTGGGCTAGGGAGTTGGAAGCGCGGCGTCAGACTAGGGCTAAGTTCCCGCGCTGTGACCGGCGTTCAGCGCATTCCCAGCGCTGGGCGTTCGCGAGGCCGTCACATCAGCCCCAGCAGCAACAGCCTCTGTTGCATCCCTCCTGCAGCCCGCAGCCGCTGTCCCTCCTGCTCCTGCTCCTGCCACCAATTGACAATTCGCCCGGGCTGCTCCCTCAGCCGACAGGGCACGGCGTCGGCGGCGGGGGAAAGGTGGGCCTCGTTCCTGATGTTCATGGTGGGGGGGCCCGGTTCCTCAGTAGAAGGAGGCTGATGCTTTTCACCCACGAATGGGAACGGCTGTCTCCGGACAGCTGGATCATGCAGACTATATCCCGTGGGTACCAGATAGAGTTTACTTCCCCTCCGGTTGCGTACGGAGGGATGAACACGCCCATTCCAGCCTCCCCCGAGAAGAGGGAAGCCCTGTTTTCAGGGGTGAACGACCTTTTGAAAGGGGCTGTAGTCGAAGTTTTTCCGACTACCGAAGACAAGGGGTTCGTTTCCACACTCTTCCTGACAGAAAAATCGTCAGGCGGATGGCGTCCTATCCTAAATCTGCGGCGGCTGAACCCATGGATCAGACCGCAAAAATTCCGCATGGACACTCTCGCTCTTATTCTCCAGGGGCTCATGCCCGGGGACTGGGCCGCTACTATAGACCTCAAGGATGCTTACTTTCATGTGCCTATTTTCCCAGAAGATCGCAAAAGGCTGCGTTTCCGTCTGGACGGTCGTACGTATCAGTTCAAAGTTCTTCCCTTCGGTCTATCCACGGCTCCTTGGGTGTTTACACGGGTGGTAAAATCCCTAGGTGCAGTGTTCCACGCGGGAGGGATACGTATTTTCATGTACCTAGACGACGGGCTCGTGGTCGCAAATTCCCGAGCAACTCTGTTGCATCATCTCAGCATTGTCTTAGACATGACGGAATAAGTAGGGTTCATTATCAACCGGTAGAAATCGGTTTTGGTTCCCACGCAACTTCTGCTGTATCTGGGGGCGATTTTGTTCGTTCCCCTCCACGGGTCGGATCCGCAAGTGCCAGCTAGCAATCACTCAGCTTCTTTCCCTTCCGCATTCCCCAGCCGAGTCGTGGCTGCGGATGTTGGGGTTTCTTACGAGCCTGGTAGACCTAGTTCTTTATTGCCGGCTTCATATGCGCCCTCTTCAACTGCATCTGCTCGCGTTTTTCTCTTCAGACTTGTCAGCTCAGATTCCCTTGAACGCATTTGTCGCCAGGCACTTCCGGTGGTGGCTTCAGGAGAACGTGCTTTAGGGCGGGAAGTCTTTTCCCGACCCTCTCCCCGTCTTTCGCTTTTCGGCCGACGTCTCCCTCGGGGGTTAGGGCAGTTGTTCGCTCACGGAGCGCGTCGCGGGAGACTGGGCGCTGGAAGAATCCACCAGTCACATAAACGTTCTGGAGCTTTTAGCAGTTCGTCGGTCTCTGGAGACCTTCGTCGATCGGGCAAAGGGGAAAGCTGTGCTAGTTCATTCCGACAGTTCAACCGTGGTCTCCTACATCAACCGTCAGGGCGGCACGCATCCACCAATGCTATGCTTCCATACATTGCAGCTCCTGCTTTGGTGTCTCAGCCATCGCATTCATCTTCGAGTAGCTCACATTCCCGGCCGACTGAATGTCCTCGCCGATGCGCTGTCTCGACGTCGGTTACCTCCACTCCGTCCGACGGAGTGGAGGCTGTGTCCGGTCGTGGCCCAGCATATTTTCAACACGTTCGGGCGTCCCAACCTAGATCTGTTTGCGACGAGCTCGAACACTCAGCTTCTGACGTTTTGCTCCTGGTTTCTGGAACTAACAGCGTGGGCAGTAGATTCCCTGTCCATCTCATGGAACGGGTTTTGGGTGTACGCGTTCCCGCCCTTGTCGCTTCTTCCGAGGGTGATGGCGCACATCCGTCGCCACCATTGCAAGGTTCTCCTGATAGCGCCATGGTGGGCCCGCCAGGGTTGGTTCCCTCTTCTGCTGAGTCTTCTCTTCGAACATCCCCGCGTGTTGCCGGTTTGTCCGGACCTTCTTAACAGGCCCGGTCGTGGGTCGGCCTGAACCATTTAATATCGCTGAACTTGACTGTTTGGCCCTTATCCGGGATAATCTCCAAGGTTCAGGCATTCCAGATGGCCCTGCCGCCCTCGCCGCCAAATCCCGTCGGGAGTCGACTCGCGCGATCTACAACAGTCGCCTTAAGCACTTCTTGCGGTGGTGCACCGATCACGAAGTGGATCCTATGTCAGCCTCTCTAGGTTAGGTGTGTCTCTTTTTGCATTATCTGTTTGAGTCGCGTCTCTAGGTACGCACTATTGCGGGATACCGGTCTGCGCTAGGCGCTATTTTACCGACGTTCCCAGATGGATCGAACATTTCTCCCTCTAGCGTGATATCGCAGTTATTACGAGGTATGTTCAATAGTCGACCCCCGAGGTGCGTTTTACCTCCTCGCTGGGATATTAATATTGTGCTTGAATCGCTAAAGGGTTCTCCTTATGAGCCCCTTTGCTCGGCTTCCTTGCTTAATCTCTCCTTTAAAACGGCCTTTTTAGTGGCCGTTGCTTCGTGTAAGCGTCGTGGTGAGGTTCACACTCTTTCCTTGGAAACGGGACATATTCGATTCGAGCGGGGCGTTGTTCGTCTCATTTTCAGAGCTGATTTCCTAGCGAAGACGCAGACTTTGGCGCATTCCCCTCCGTCTGTCTTCATTCCCACCATTTCCTCGCACTCTTCAGTACGGGAGGACAGGGTTTGGTGCCCTGTGCGAGCTCTGCGGTTTTACATTCATCGCACGCGTCCGTTGCGCAGCACGGATTCGCATTTGTTTGTGTCTTCAGTTCGTCCCCATGGGCGTGCTTCTGTTGATACCATTGCTCGCTGGGTGATTTCGGCTATCCAAGCCTCTTATGCGCCGGCTCGCAAGCCTCCGCCTGCCCACATGCACGAGGTTCGCGGCACGGTGGCTTCTTGGGCCCTCTTTCACGGGGTCCCCCTCGCCGACATTCTGGCAGCGGCATGGTGGAGATCGGAGACTACATTATCATCTTGCTACTTGCGGGAGGTCTTGTCGACCCAGGCCTCGGTAGCGGCTGCTGTGTTGAAGCCGTCTCTGTAGGTAAGTCTTCTGGTTTCTGATCACGCCCGCCTCCTCTTTACGCTGCTAATCTGGCAATTAGTTGGTTATCCAGGTAAGTATTTACGAAATAGACTACACAAATCAATCGTGATGTTGGTAGTCTATGAGTGAGATACTTACCTGGATAACCTTCCCTCCCTTCCTACCCTCGCCGTGATCGTGTCGATCTTTAGGGAATGAGGACGTTTGTTAGGGAAACGGTTCGCACATGGCGCCTTGGGTCGGACTGTTCCATTTTTTTTCGAAGGGGTGTTCCGTTTTGGGAACAATGGCAATTAGTCGGTTATCCAGGTAAGTATCTCACTCATAGACTACCAACATCACAATTGATTTGTGTATTTTAAAGCCTGTTTTATATTGTCTGTAATTTTTAGTTTTCATAATACTGTAGATGTAATTATATGTTTGCTAATTGATATAATAAAAGTAAATATATCCTTTTATTTTCTATTTGGATATTAAAATACAGGTATTTGATAATATGGTCTGTCCAAATATGAAAAGGCATACTGTACAACAAAATGTGTAGGTGTAATTTCTTATGTAGATTCAAACTACAGTATTGGTGTTGCATGTAAATATGGTTTTTTTAACCCCAGTTTCAATATGCATTTGATTTTTAGTTTTCACATTTAATACAGCTTGAGGATATTTCCCACGCGATTAAAATTGTAACGGTATTGGTTTGGTCTGCAGGAGTTCATGTTTCGTACAGGTCATTCCATTCATAGAAAAAGCCTTTATATTGGAGAAAGCGTACCTGTCATTAGCCATAGCCTAGGTCAATACTAACTCCGGCTATATAAAATTGATTATAAAAGATTGGAAAATATTAATCTTATCATTGTAGTAGTGATAATATCTACATATTTTAGTTATTGTTATTTATTTATTTATTCATTTATGGGAAGGTGGATATTTCCTTTTCTGTTTGATACATTTATGTTATAGGCCTGTCTAAATGCAGAAATTTAACTTAAATTATAAAGTCAAAATGTGCTTTAGAAATTTATCGTGTATTGTATTTGATGACTCTTTTCCTTGGTAAATTGCATTAGTACCTTTGTCACTACAAATGGCCATAACAGTGTTTCAGTAAACGATAAATTTTGGAGTGAGAGTAGAGTTGGAGAATTGTATGAATGTTTTATTTATAAGTTGTGAACACAAATCATATGTAATACAATACACGCATGAAAGTGTCTCTATAAGAGCATCTAAACACTTAATATTTCTTATTTTGCCACGAGTGACTGGTTTGGCTTGTCTTTGCCACAAATATAAAAATACTATAAAATTTATAGTAGAAGGGGTTGGCGCAACGGTTGTAGCTTGGGCTCTCAACCTTGGGTCAGGGGTTCAAAACTTGTGTCCTTTGGCAAGACACTTTAGCTACGCTTGTCTCTCTCCACCTAGGTGTATAAATGGGTACCGGCATATGCTGGGAAGGCAAAACAGAGAGCAGTGCGGGAGGAGTGGCGAACCCCCACCCCCAAAAGCCTTGCACAGTCTGGCCCAAATGCTAAAAAAAGAGAGACGGGCACTCCGGCCTGTGAGCACAGAGCTTCAGGTTTCAACCTTTACTTTACCTTACCTAAATTTAATCTAATATTAAAATATAATTTAATTAAATTATAAAGAATTATAATTCAAGATTCAAGTTTAAAAATTCAAAACTTTTATTCATCCTCAGTGTAAGGAAATTTTATTTCTTGCATAAAGATAAAATGCAACAAGAAGAAAGTAAAAAATGGTACACATCAAAATAAGCCAATTCTTTCACCTTTTAAAATTAGAATTACATTGCCTAATACACCGTGGTAGAAAATTGGCATTGTAAGACATATGCCAAAGGGGATAATTTCAAGGTCTTGTTTGTGTCCCCAAAATAGGGGTACCATTCAGGAACACCCTTATCAAGAGGACACTTTCTTGGCCCCGAACGCGTCTCCCTTAATAGCTCTACTGTATATCAGTTGTAATTTGTTTTATTGTTGAAATGACCAAAAGTGTTTATTTTCTTTTCAGACGCAAAAGAATTCCGGAGTTTCTTGGTTCTTGAACAGACGTTTGATGATGCTCTTAATATGGAGAGCTCTGTAGAATACCTGATGCTTCAAGATGACCTCTTGCCATTGGTATGTTTGTTTGACTTCTTTTTTTATGTTGGTCTAACAATCTTTTTTTTTTTTCTTATCAGCAAATTATAATTTCTGTATAATGAAAATATGAATACATTATGAAATGGCATCAGAAAAGAATGACCCTAAGAAATACCTGTGTGTTCATCCAGGCTTTTGTAGGTAAATAATGTTGAATTGAATTGAAGTGGGTTCAATTTAACATGTATCATAAATGCCTTTAAGCTGTGTTTTGCTAAAATTTCTAATTGTAACATTGGCATTATTAATTGAAAGTCTCCAACTGGCTCCGATGGCTACCTCTAATCATGTTCCTTCTATTTAGCATAGTTGCTAAATTTGTGTACTAAATTTGGTAGTGTTTCATCCAAATTTTAAGAACTATTTATTCCCATCTTTAGAAACCAAACAAATTCTGAACTGACATTATAAAAAATTACTATACTACACTTTTGTAAAAACACACCTGTTGTACGTGCACTAAAGAAGTCCAAATTCAATAATAAAACGAAAATTCATGTGTTAAAAAATAGTATATCAACATTGAAAGTAATATTAAAAAGTTAAAATATAACCAATAATTTAGGCACAAGAATTTGGCAGACCTGCCAGACTGACAATGCAGCAACGATCAGAGACAAAGGCAGGCCATTTTTACTATTATGTACCCAAACAAACATCCCAAAAGCACATGAATTTAATTCAGTTCAAATTACTTTAGTCCAACAAAATATGCTTGGACATCTTGGAGACGAGTAAAATTGTATTGACATTGTTCATATTCATAATAACCAGTGCCATTGAGTGAGATTTGTTAGGTCCGATGTGCACACAAGACAAAAATCAGCACTTTATCGAATTAACGCTTGGTTTCCATACATTTGCTACACGCTATCGCCAATTGCTCTTGGTAATGCTTCGGTCGAATTGGGGAGCCTTTCCGATTGCGTCGGGGACTGCTGTGCTACTGAAAACACTGTAGCTACAGTGTAGTGTTTTTAAGGAAACCAGGCTATGATTGATTAGAGATAGGAAAAGTATGTGCAAATGAAAGTGATGACGTCACAACTGACTTATTGTAATTAATCTTAATTACGAAACCTTTTCACCCTGTGAAAAGGCTATGAGGATACATGATTATATATAACTTATCATAAAACTGAACTAAAAGCACAATTGGCAGCATCTAATTTATAATAATGCATTCAATATATTATAATTTCATTTTTATTTTTATCATTTCATTGGCTGTAAAATATTACTTAACAAAGACGACCAGTCGAATAGAAAACTTGTAAATACTCGACAAAACAAAATGGCTGCATAGTTACCGCGATACACGCTGTGTAATCAAGATTGCTTCAGCTTGTGGCAGTATGGGTTTTTAGTAATTCTAAATTTAGTAATTTTAGTTTTTTAATTCTGTTGGCCTACAATTATTTTTTGACTTCATGTGGGTATAATATTATAATTTTTATTTTCTGAAATTTAAACTGATACAATATATAAAAGACAGTTGTTAAGAATAAGATAAAAAAAAATGCAAAATGAATAGTGAAAAACGACAACACAATACTATATGTTCCCCTTCCTGTAGGCCTACGTAATGATGCAAACTTAAAATAAAAACTTGTTTAATTTTAACTTTTTATTAAATTTAACATTTTATTTTATAACATTTTATTAAATAATTAAGTTTATCTATTTATGGTTTCATTGAACAATCTGACTGCAGTCGGAATAAAGGATTTCCTATAGCGTTCAGTGTTAGGATTTGTCTTTAAAAGTAATCTTGAGCTGAAAGGACTTGCTCGGAAACTGTTAAACAAGGGATTAGTTTCATCTTTTACAACACTTCAGGCTTTAGAGACAATTTTTTCTTTATAAATAACATCAGGTGATGAAACTTGTTGGCCTATAATCTTACTAGATCATTTAGTGATTCTATAAAACAGTTTCTTATCAATCTCTCTAAAAGAGTTGTAGAAACAAACCATACAAAAAGTCATAATACTTTGCACAATAGATTTTAAAAACATGAAATAATATCATTGTCAATTTGAAAAACACAAAATCTTCGCAAAAAGAACATTTTCTTTCTTTGTTTACCATATGTGTATTCAGCCTGTTTATCAAATTTCAACCAGTTATCTAAGACAATGCCTAGATATTTATGATGATCAACTCTTTCCAATGGTGTATTATAAATTTCAACAGGTTTAACCATAGTCCGATGTTTAACACGAAAATCAATCAACATCTCTTTAGTCTTACTAATATTTAAATCAAGGTAGTTATCCAAACTCCGAGTGTTGAAAATTTCAATATCTTCGTTAAACTCTGTAACAGAGTTATTTTTGGCATTTAGATAACCTACAATAGCCGTATCGTCAGCATATTTAATTATCCTAGTGCATTGAAAGTTATGTTTACAATCATTAGTATATAAAGAAAATAATATGGGAGACAATACGCATCCCTGGGGGGCACCTGTACTTGTCAACATAGCCTACGACATGGTACGATTTATCCTGACAGTTTGACTCCTATTACAAAGAAAACTACTAGTCTATTTAATAAGTTTAGGATTGACATTTAAGTCAATAAGTTTGCGTCCTAACATATGTGGTAGCATTGTATTAAAAGCACTAGAAAAGTCAATGAATACAATTTTAATAAAGTTACCCCCCTCCAATATCAAAATGCTCATATACACCATTTAGAAGAGTAAGAACAGCGTCCTCCACTCCTCTACCTGGTCGATAGACAAACTGAGAGTCATCAAGGACATTTTTGACATTTTCAACAATTATATTTTTAACAATCCTTTTGAGACATTTCATAGGAACACTAGTTAAGGCAATAGGCCGTAAATCGTTCATTTCTTTTGGATTAGGTTTTTTAGCAACAGGCGAGATAATTGATTTTTTCCATAAATTTGGTACATAAGATGTATCAGTAACAGTTTGAAATAGCCTTTGGAAGGGAGGGGAGAGTTCATTTGCACATTCTTTTAGGATCTTACAGGAAATCCCATCTGGCCCCATAGATTTACGGATACTTAAGCTACGAAAAAGCCTAGTTACAACTTCGTTGTCTATCCTAATATCGTCAGAGATCTTGTTACCTATTGTTTCAAATACATTATTCATTTCCTCAGTAAATTTATTTTTATCAAATCTACAATAGAACTTGTTGAGATCATTAACATATTTTCTTTCATTAACAATGTTTAAGTCTTTAGCTTTTCCTTTGTATCCAGTAATGGTTTGCAGACTCTTCCATACTGTTCTAGAGTCATTTTCTTTGAAAGAGGCCTCAATTTTTTGTTTATACTTAAGTTTACATTCTTTAGTTTTCTGATTGATTATGTGTTCAGCACAAACAAACAGCTTTGCGTTCCAATATACCATTGGCAAAATTCTCTTTTTTTCATTTAGCAATTTTTTAAAACCTTTGTCTATCCATGGTTTGTTGTTGGAAAATAGTTTAAATGTTTTAGTTGGAACAATACTATCCTCACAAAAGCGAATATATTCAGAGATTGAGGTCAGAGCATCTTCAATGTCCACGGCCGCATCAATGAAAATATTCCAATCAGTACACTCAAAGCATCCTCGGAGAGTTTCAACGGTTTCAACTGACCAACATTTAATGCTGACTTTCTTGGATGATTTGCTTTGTAACTTCGTCTTGTAGATTGGGATGAGTTGGACCATGTTATGATCTGATTTTCCTAGTCCTGGTAGAGCTTTCACTCTATAGGCACCCATTATATTGCCATAACATAAGTCAAGACACGCGTCATTTCGAGTATTGCATGTAACATATTGATGATACAGTAGCTTGGCAAACATAATTTACAAGTGTTGAAATCACACATCACTAATCGTACAGCATCAGGTGAGTGAGACTCGCATTCTGAAATAATATCATAAACCGTTTCAGCCGCCACATCATTATCTGCATCAGGGGGTATATACACTACTAATAATTGAAGCTGGGGAATTTCCCTCGGCAAGTAATAGGGTCTAAGATAGAGAAGTAACACCTCAATATCTTTAGTGCAGAAAGCTTTCTTTAACGTGATATGCGATGGATTACAATACTGTTCTTGTATTAAAGTACATACCCCTCCAACTTTACTAATTATTATTCCTGTCCGATCTAATTAGTGTATATCCTTCAATATCCGTTAACGAATCAGCATCACAGTCCTGCAGCCATATTTCTGTGAGAACAATAAGACTCGAGTCGCGGTATTCAGACAAATGCTTCATATTTGCATACAACTCATCCGTTTTGTTCCTGATACTCCTAACATTCCTGTGCGTAATCATAGGATGCGGAGTTTTATGTTTATGTTTCCTTAGTCGTTTCTTGATTCCACCTTTCGAACCTCTTTTTCTAATTCTGATCCCAGTAGAATTTCGCGTACAGTCCATTGGTAGGCCTATACTATAGTGGAGCGCCGGTGCGAACTCCCTGCGACTGAGAAGAAATTCCCGGTCGTAAACGACTGTCATGTTAACATGGCCTAAACAAACCAACAGGAAGAAAAACACGAAAATCCACAGTTTAAAACGAATAAAAGTTCCAACAATTCATCACAACATCTAAATAACACTTCCACATCAAAAGTACACAACTTAAATGATTGCAGCGTAGCAAAATAACGAACAATTTAAACAGAATGAGGACCACAACCTGGTCGCCACTTGAGCAGCGCCCTCATAACTAAATAGTTATGCTCACTATTATTATATTACACATCGATCTCCAATAATATATAATATATATATATATATCAATGTATAACGATTCACAACAATAATAACCACTAAACTATTAAGTTCATTATTAATAATCTACACATTGATCTCCAATAATATATATATATATATATATATATTGAAAATATTAAAAATATTGAAAATGTAGAACTTGTAGAACTGGGTATTATCACTTTACAGACTGTTTCATGCTAATGCAATCTTCAGGAGTGAGAGAATACAAGGATTGTGCGAGTATTATGAATGCTAAGACAGGTGAAAATGCAAATGAGTTGTTTTTAAGTAGGTATTTGTTGCTGTGCCTGCATTTAGACAATAGCTCGGTTCTTTTGTTTAGTGTTGACTGTTTGTCTGAATATATTATGTGAAGTTTCTCGGTTATGCACAGGTTGCAGCGTTTTGTTTTTGGGGAGTAAGCCGATGCTCTGTCGATGATAGACCATTTAATGTTGTAGGGTGTGTTTATTGCTATCTTTTAATTTCCATACGTATTTGGAGAGTACGGTGCTGTTTCTGTGTTTGGGGGTGTTAAAAGTGTATTTGTGGTTTGTGTATCGGGTTTTGAACAGTGTGTCAGTGAGCCCGATGTAGCAT